TGCTAAGTACCCTGAATCTCAAATCTCAATCACACAACAAAATTCTTCCCACATTAATCGTAGCGATGGAGTGCATATATATGTATATCGTGGACCGGACTACAAATGTGGGGGAGTGAGTGCCGGAGCCACGTGTTATATTCATATTCCAAAAATTCCATTTAGATATAGTGCTAGGGTAACAATAGTGCTACACTTCAAATTCGTGAAGTGGGATTTGATGGATCAATCAATCGTGTCAAAGAATAATATTGTAATTAGTGAAGATTTTATAGGTTAAATTGAGGTAAATATATATAAAAGAAGAAACTTTTTTAGAAAAGGGAGGCTACGTACGTACGGAACGTGGGTATGTATATATAGGATGGTGATGATGGATGTGGCTAACGTTGTTTGTTTGTAGTTGTCAGATGCCGTTGGGATTTCGACGGCCAAGTCGAACAAATGAAATCACAAAATAAATCCTCCAAACGAAACGCCCCATTCCCATCCCACCAACAAATCTAGCCGTTGACAAGTGACCAAAGTGAGTGGAACCCCATTCGCGTTTTCATTCTTCACTTTCGGACCCAACCGCACAAAAACAACACACCTTTTCCCACCACACGCCCATTTGTGGCCTCCACTACGCCGCTCTGCTCATGTTTTCATCAAAATCGGTTGATAAACATTTCCTTCTACACGTTCAAATTAAATAGGATAAATACAACTTATTAGCCAAATCTTTCATTATTAAACAAAATAATAATCTAACTTTTTCAAAAACAATTTAATAGCCAAACCGTAAACCTTCCATCCGGTTTGTGGCAAAGTGTCAAGTGTTTGACACTGTCACTAGGCCCGGCCCTGAGAATGTAGAGGCCATGTTCTATAAATAAAATGAGGCCCAATTTTTTTCAAAATCTAATAAAATATAAATAAATCAATAAATAAATAATAATTTAAAATAATATTATTTAAAATTAAGAGTGATAATAGTTCAAATAGAAAGATGAAATAAAAGATTAGAATCCAAATAGTAACTAAATTGACAATTAATCAATTAACTAGACTCATCTGAATAGGTGATGAGAACTTAATTGAATAGAAGATAAGAATAATTTTAGATGAATCACGAAAAATATTTGATAAAAAAATATTAGATAGGAGAAGCTTATAATTTTTAAACTAAAGTTAAGTATGGTACAAACTATTTACAATTGATTTACTTCTTTTTTCTTGTTTTACTGTTACTGAGCTTTGCCTTATTACGACCTCTAACACTGCTCTATATTTCTCTCTCGATTTATCTTACTAGACAAGGGGAGCCCGCAATTGGGATTAAATGTTAGCTTTTGAAAATAATTGGAATAAAGCATAGTTTCTTACTATTATATTTTGATTTAAAATGAAAGAAAAAAGTCTAACGAAAAAATATATTTACTAATAGTAGCAGTGAGCCAAGGTCAAATTACATAGGATACCACTTAAATGTTTTTGTGCATACGCAAATGACTATAGGAGGTTAAATAATTATTTTTCAAATTTTAGATATGTCATGCTATCATTTACGCAAACTAATATCGAGATTGAATAGTCATTTTTTCAATTAAATGTTAGAGGTGTCCCCATAAATTCACTACTGTATCGAAGGCCCCGTAATTTGGAGGCCATGTATTAGAGGGCCTACTGGCACACCCCTAAGGCCGGCCCAGACTGCCACATAGATATTTAATCATTTTATAAAATAATTTTTATTATTGAAAATTGAAATTAAATTACAAAAATAAAAAATAGGTCTAATATCTATTTTAGACTGTTCATCTTCTCCCTGAAACTCCCCACCACCACCCAAATCCTTATCCACCTTCCCGTACCAGGATAGTTGTTGTAAAATGTTTTATCCGTCCCATGATTCTTGGTCCTCTTGTTAGAAACCCACTTATTGGGTGATTTCGGTGTTTGGACTTGTTTGCTGTTTTATTTATGTTTGGGTTATTTGGATATTATTTGGGGATTATGGGCGCATTTGAGGATTATTCGGTTATTTCCGTTAAAGGATATTAAGTGGGGTAGTTAGCCGGAATTATTTGGGTTATATATTCTGTAATTAGTGGGTATTTACTGATTAAGCAAATGCATAACAGAATTCCTTAAAACCCTAATCTCCTTCCTCTCTCTCTATTCGGTCGAAACCTTCCCCCAACCGCATCATCATCTTCGTCGGCCACCCCTTGGCCGCCGACCCTCCTCTCTTCTTCTCCCAGTAATTTCCCTCAATCCTCTATTATCTATCCATATTCAACCTCTAATCCCCAATCCCCTATCGATCCTGATTACAAAGCCCTAGATGCAAGACACCTAGGTCCCAGGTTTCTTATAGTGGTATCAGATCTTGCTTGGTGTCTTGGCTAGAAGAAAGATGGGTTTGTCGGATCAATCACCGGAGAAAAGACTGCGGGAGGCCGTGATCACAGAATATATCACTGACTCGCAAGAAACTACACCACAATAAAATCCCAACTAGAGCCCAAGTTTTTAAACACTAATCGGGTGTAGTATAGGGAAAGTATTTAGACATCGACCCGAGCCGGTCCGTCTACCCATACTTCAGTTGCTAAAATCATTATTTAGCAACAAAACTTTGGTTTAAAGGTTTGCTAATTGAAATGAAAGAAAGCAAAGATAAATGGTTTTGATAACTCTTTGGTGGAAAGATCACTCGGGTGTCGCTCCCCCCTAACTGCTACCATGTTATACGAATTGGACCGATTGTTTTGGGAACAATAATCGTAAACCGCAGACGGATGCATATATGGTTGGAGACCACAATCTCAATTGCTAAACCGAGGTAAGCATGAAAGTTCGTGTCACTCGACCCTCTCGGTTTAAGCAATCGGTAGTTGACTTACTCCCTCACTCAACTCTATTGTCGGACGGCTTAATCACGATTAACCGATTTGCTTAACTCAATACTGAGGGTTCTCCCTAACTTAACCCATTTTAGGTGGCTTAGAAAGCGGAAGGAAAACCAACTCGATTGAGTCTCCCTTGGAAGGGGGATTTTCCTCTCTAAGTTAGACTAATGTGGCTAATTAGATTGCTAGCACCAACATGCACAAACCTAAGGATGCTAACCACAAAATATGCACAACCCCTAGGTTGCTAAGAACAAGCATGCACAATCATGATGAATAATACCTCATTCATTGAATTAAACAATACCCAATGACAATCATCCAAAACACATAAAAGAAAACTACATGGTAGAGTTAGGGTTTCACAACACCCAAGTGAAAGGAGGTCTACTCCATGCTAGAAGTGGGAAAACAAAAGGGAAAGAGATGGAAACCATCTTGGAGGATGCTCCCAGTCTTCTTGGCCCTTGAGTTGAGCTTTCCTTGGAGGAAATCTTCCCAAAATCTCTTGAAGCTAAACCCTAGCCTTCTTCTCCCTTTGGTTCGTATTTCTCTCTCTAGAATGTAGAAGAAGGCTTTTCACACCAAATGGGCTCTCTCCTCTCTCCTCCTTTCAGCTCATATTTTAAACCAGAGATGAGTTGAGTTCAAAGCCTGAGTTCACGGCCATGAACCATGAAACGCGCCTGTGAACTACAGGCGTGCGCCAAAACGCGCCGCATCGTTCACTCGAGTTCACGGTCAACTGCCTTTGTTCATAGTCTTAGTGACCGTGAACTCACCTTGTGTCAGTAACCTTCACTTTGGATCTGGACGCCTCGTGATTCACGGTCAACTCCTCTTTTTCACTGTCATGCAAGACCGTGAACTCCCTTTGTTAGCCGTAACTGACTCTTTTTCACCTCTTCTCCCAGTTTTCGATCCTTTTCGCCAATCTTTCAACTCCGCGGCTGGTTTCACCTGCTAAATCCTGAAACACACTTGAACATGGAGAACCTAGCGTAAAACCAACCTTTAAGGAGTGAATTTGGCACAAACACCTAAGTAAAACGGGGCAAAACATGTGCAATTAGACCCGAATCACTCCCCCACACTTAGACGTTTGTTTGTCCCCAAGCTAACCATTTAACGCACACGGTAATGTTTCAACCTACACAAATACTTTGGGGACAACTCAGGGCACGAAATGGGAATTCTCGATGTTTAATGACAATCAACACATGAACCGTTGCAAGCAATACCGACATCCACCACAAACGACATTCAAAGCCACCAAAACGGGCAAATGAAAAGTTCTCAACCTATTCATTGATAAATGCAAGTCTCAACAAAACCACTTATAGACCACAATGAACCATGCATGGAATTCAAGTCCGAGGAACAAATGGAAAGGTAACAAAGGTCCTCACCGGGTTATGAAATGGTAAGTAAAACCAAGAATGGATCACTCACTCTCAAGACAAGTGGGGACGAGACTTTTTTGGTGCAAAAGATGTGCACAATCATAACGTCTCGGCCATATAATCTCAATACCACGACGGTAACCTCTAAACGCTAGAGTTCATGGGATGGTTGTCACCACTAGCTCGTCCAGAGGTCTTAGACACGGAATCAGATGACTAGCGATTGGCTTGGACATGGGAAAATGGCTTTTTGGGTGATGGCAATCATGACGTGAGGTTCTACATCTCCAACCTAACCCCAAGGCTCTATGGTTTCGACTAGAACCCTTCTCTTCAATCAAAGGCCACTAGCATCTGCCAAAAACCTTATCTCTCCCTTCCATCTATCACCCATCATAAACTACCTTGAAACACTCTATCTCGGTCAACACTTGCTAGCTCTTTAGGGTTTGGTAGTAAAGGAGTTCTAAACAATGTGAGGGTTCTGATGGCTTGGTTGCCAAGTAACCCCTCCTAGAGCATGTACTTTGGTTTTTCGTGACACTCTCTACTTTATTTACCCCATTTTATTACCTCTTTTCCGTTTCTCTTTTTCTTTTCTTTCTCTTTTTTTTATTTTCTTTTTTTATGGGGGTACTAGAGAGTAAAACACTTGCCACCTAAAGATTTAACGATCAATGCTCTCTTTTTGAGGAACTCACTCCAACACTACACTTCATTTCGCATTCCTAGCAAGAACCGCACACAAACCTCCTATGTAGAACCTCAATGGAGACTCAAAGGTGAGAGCTCTGGAACACACGGGCGACTCATGTTTAGACACAAAGAAAGGATTGGGGGTAGTTCTACTAACACCTTTACGCTCACACGCACGAAGCTCCTAAATTGAGAACGACCCACGAAGTCACAAGGCTCAAAGGGGTTTACTAAAGGATGATACATTTCGCGACAATCAACATTTGGGCGTGGAATCATCCTATGCCTCCATCATACTTGCTAGTGACAACTTGTGATGCTACACACCGTGGTAAGAGGTAACTATCACACAGGAAGAAAACGATCGGCTCATAGCTCACAGGCTACCTAGTTACCCAACCATCTATTCCAATTCACTAACACGATGCATGACAATTGTTAGCAACAAATGATCAAGTCAAGACATCCATTCATTTATGCACACATGAGAACTAAACTTTTGCCCTATCCTAATGAACTTCTCAGTCATCATCATAGGATGTACTTGATCACATGAAACAAGTTGAGATCGATGAACAAAAACACGAGAATTTCCCACCATCCAGCCACTTTGATCATGCAAACATCGCTTGGAGCCCTCAAATTTTTGAAATTTAGGCATACAAAAGGCTCCAAGCAATATCACACTCACACAAGCATGCTAGCAGACTACCCCCCCCCCCCCCCACCCCACACTTAAACTCGACATTGCCCTCAATGGCAAAAGAAAGGGGTAGAATGATGTTACCGCTTGGGCTTGGTGAGTGGAGGTTGGAATCGAACCAGGGTAGGATATTTGAGCTTCAAGGAGAGACAAAAAGAACACACACAAAGACAATACGACTCGCTCGAGGCGAGGTTATTACAAGCACAATACATAGTAGTAGTTTATGTCACGCACACACAAAATGAAGAAAAATAACAAAAACAAAAATAACATGAGTTCAGGATTACAAGTAGAGAAGTGGGGCGAAAGGACTCCGCTCTGCCACATGTCTCACTCGTCGACTACCTCTCTCTGGTGGATGGACCCTCTCCAGAATCGGGTAGGATACCCTGGCGTCGAGCCATGAGCTCGAGGATGTCGGATTGCCTCTCGAGGAGGGATGAGAATCCCATGAAACTCGTCTCAAGGCGATCCACCCTCTGGACAAGGGGATCGTCTGCTCCTAGTGGTGGTGGCTGTTGGGCAGGGCGCCGGCAGCGGCCGGGTGCACGAGCAGGTGGTTGCTCTACTATTGGTGGACCTCGCGGTCAGACTCCACTGGAGCCGGTGCTGGTGCAGCTCGGATGACTCTGGAGGGTCGGAGTCCGTCAAGGCACTCCACTCCTCTCTCGCCCTGGATTATCATCTTCTGGTTATATAATGTCTCCACTTGGAAGGGATCCTTCCTTCCGACGCTAGTGAAGCGGGCCAGATCCACCTAGAAGTGTCGGGCGATCCTCGTGATGATGCCCCCCATGTGCATAGTGTCCAGTCTCTTCCGCCCCAAGAACCGGGCGAAAGAGGTGGCGATCAACGATCCCAGATGGACCGGCTTAGCTTGACTCCTCATCGAGTAGAGGGCAATGAGTCCTCTGTTCGTCATCAAGTGGCCTGACTGGAGGCTGGGGATGACGGATCTGGTGAGCAGAGAGTGGAGAATCTCCACTGGGTCTTCAGCTTCACCGCATTGGTGCGGCTATCCTCGAACTCGTCGTGCTCTGGCCAATAGAGGGCTCGGAATGCGCCCTGATAGTTGAAGTCGACGATGAACTGCCACTCCGTCATCGTCATGTGGGCGGTGTCGAGCCCCATGGCCTGAGCAAAATCATCATAGGTCAGCACTCGTGGGTGACCTCCCAGCATAAACTCCACCCGTGGCCGGCTCTTTTTACTGGATGGGACGATGTGTGAGAAGGTGGAGTAGAACTCCACGCACAGCTCATGGAAGATCCTCTCGTCCATGGTCAAGAGATGGCGCCACTACGGATGGCAGAGCACCCCAGTCATGGCGGCTCGGCACCTGAACAAGTTTAACATGTCCAGGTCCAGCCGCTAGTGAGGCCCAATCGGGCTGCCACTCTGGTAGGCAAACTTGTCGCCAAACTCCGAGTGGTTCACCAGATAACTAATGAACTCATGCTCCAAGTTAAGCATCATGCACAAGCACAAACACACACCATACGTAGAAATAATTGTCATATATCGCTCATTGGGAGGAAAAGAGATCCCCCCCCCCCTCCCCCCACACACACACACTTATTTTTCCACCATGGTTCTCAAACATTTAAGTTCAAACCACCGTCGTATAGTTGTGGGTATATCACAATTCAAGCACACAAGAAATTGAACCACAACCCTTACCACGGTGGCTACCATCCACCAAACAAGAATAAACTTCACTTGCATTCATAACATAGCCCTTGGTGGGCAAATTCTAAAAATAAATATAATTAGATTCAAACACACCCACCAAGGCTCACAAAGCTCATGCAAAAATCAATCCATCATTCATTCGACCTAATTCACCTAATTCCCCGCCCTAAATCTAGATTCAATCATGCAAAGCACAAAAATTCAACCTCACTTCACTACCTAATCCGATTCCCCACAATTCACAAAGATAAAGTCGAAAACAAACCTGGAGACTCGAGTAGGACGAAGGAGGAAGTGGTGTGGGCGAGGACGGTGAAAAACGGTCGGAAAACTGACCGGAGAGGGGTCACCGGTGCTTCGTCGGAAGCTCTCAGGAGACTCGCCGCCGGTGACTTGGCCGGAAAAAATGTGGTCCAAATCTCCCCAAATTCACAGCACAGACAGGTTTTTAGGAGAGGAAACTGGGTATGACGTTGGTTTTGGGTTTTTCTGGCAAGATTTTAGTCGTGAAGTGAAGAGTCGCTGTTCACGCCCCTTTTATAGGCACAACTCGGACTTCACGGACGCGCTGCCCAGTTCACGGTCTTAGCGACCGTGAACTATCAAACGCGTCCGTGAACACAGAGTGGTTGACAGGTGGTGAACATGCATCAGTGGCCAGTTCACGGACGCGTTTGCTTGTTCACGGTCTTATAAGACCGTGAACTGAGCAATCCGTCCGTGAACTCAAGTGAAAACAGGGCACTTCTGCAAAAAAATTGACTCAACCTATTCCTTCGTGCCTCCTAATCGACCACAACATAACCATAAATCGCAAAACCACAACACCCGGCACGGGGACACTACTTCACCACTCGAACTCTTCACAAGACACTAAAACAAAAACTAAGGAAAAGAAAACAAACCTCCATTGGGTTGCCTCCCAACAAGCGCTTGTTTATCATCATTAGCTTGATGGTTGGGGATCGATCACGACTTCGAACGTGACGCCACCGAGAGCGGATCCACCACACTCTCGGGGCGAGGCTTGTAGCCTCCCATCTTAGGATCCTTGAGTTGGCCCTCTTGGTTGGCCAACATTGCTTCGGCCTCCCCCAACTTTCGGGTCCAAACTCCCTTCATCCTTCTTCTCCAAGCACTCATCCTCGATCCTTTGGGCTTAGGACTCTTCTTAACTTCCTGCTCAATATCATCAAAGCCAACACAAGTAATGGTGGGGTTCGCAGTGAGAGGCTCTCCTCTACTCTCATTCACATCATTTAAAATCACTCCCTTCAATTCATCACTCCTAACCCTAGGATCAATTTCAAGCTTGATTTTGTCCTTACCATCCCTCAAAATTAGGGTTCCCTCATTAACGTCTATCAATGCCTCGACGGTTGCAAGAAAGGAACGACAGGGGATGAGGGGCATATCCGAGTCCTCACTTATGTCGAGAATCATGAAATCGGTTTGATAGCGAAACTTGCCCTCTCTCACCATCATGTCCTCCACTATACCTCTCGAGCTAATGACCGAACGGTCGGCTAAGGTGATGCTAAGCTTAGAGGTCTTAAGTTCACCTACTTCTAACTTTTTGAAGAACTTGTAGGGCATCACATTCACACTAGCTCCTAGGTGCGCCAAGGCATTGTCTATACGGTGATCACCAATATCAAGAGGGATAGTAAAGCTACCTGGGTCGGACCTCTTTTTGGGCAAGAGATCGAGGAGGTAAGCTGAACACTCCTTGCCAAGAGTCACGTTGGCGAGGCCTTCAAGCCTTGGCTTCTTGATGAGAAATCCTTTGAGGTACTTGGCATATCTTGGCATTTGAGCCATGGCTTCGAGGAACGGGATATTCAGGTGGAGGTTACGGAGCATTTCCATGAACCCTCCACACTCGTTCTCCAACCTCTCCTTGTACATCCTTGTGAGGTAGGGAAGAGGTGGTTTGTATCCATCCACCGGCAATGCCTTTCTTGCCGCCTTCCTCTCATACCTCGAGATCTTCCCTTCTTCCTCCTTTGGGTTGGTCACTTCCTTGTTGGTATCTTCCTTCTCCATCACTTCATTAGTGGCGACTTCCGCAACCACCTTCACACTCCTCACTTGAAGCGCATTTACCCCGACTTGGTCCTTGGGGTTCACCACGGTTTGAGAAGGTAAAGCTCCTTTGGGTCTCTCGGTGAGGATACCGGCAAGGTTGTCGATTTGCACCTCCAAGCTTTGAAGGCTCGCTTGATGGCTTCAAAGACCCGCCTCCACCGAGGTAAACTTGGTAGTCTCCACATACACGAATTCCTCTATCTTCTCGAACTTTTGGCTACTCATACTCACAAAGGTGTTCACTAGGTCTTCAAGCTTGGATAACTTGTCGGGTTGTTGCTGTTGAAACCCTAGGGCACCTTGTGATTGATACGGTTGTTGGAAGTTTGAGCCTTGGAGTTGGGATTTTTTTGGATGAAGGTGGGCCGAGGTTGGAAGTTCCTCGTGGGGCCTTGGAAACTCGGGGGCCTCGGATTAGTCGGTGATGACCAAGCAAAGTTGGGGTGGTTCCTCCATCCGGGGTTATAAGTATTGCTATACGGGTTGTTGACCCTAGCATTTGCCACGAAGTTGACTTGTTCCTCCGGAGTGGTTGTCTCCTTCATTGCTTGGCACTCTGCCATCTCGTGGCTAGTACTCGAACACCAGTCGCACGACATTATCGCCCGTTTTCTTTGCCTTTTATCTTCAAGCATAACCAAGAGCAACTTATCCAAATTCGCCTCAAGCGGAGCACTCGCTCCCATGCTTCTCACTCCCCTATCATTGGTTCTTCTTCCACTTCTAGTCAACCCCCAATCGTATCCCCTAAGAGCCATGTCTTCAAGTATCTCGGTTATTTGGGGTGGAGCCATATTCATCAATTTTCCTTGACACAAGGAGTCAATGAGGATTTTATCTTCTTGCATTAGGCCTCCATATAAGGTTTCCATCCGGAACTGTTCTTCAAACCCGTGGTGAGGGCACTGATGAAAGTAATCGGAGTGCCTCTCCTAAGCATCCCTCAAGGTCTCGTCCTCTTCTTGCTCGAAATGTGTAATCTTCTTTCTCCACTCCGCCGTCTTCAAAGGAAGGCAATAACGAGCCATAAACTTGTTGAGGAGGTCGTCCCATGAGGTGATAGACCGAGGTGTGTGGTTGTTTAGCCACCTATGTGCTTTCCCCGAGAGTGAGTAAGGGAAAAGCCTTAGTTGTAAAGTTTCGGCCGGCACACCATTAATTTTCAAACTCCCCGCGAGCTCCAAGAATCTCTGCACGTGCTCTCTTGGTGACTCGCTCTCAAGGCCGTCGAATAGAGCATTACTTTGTATCATAGTCACTAGAGGCGGCATGATCTCGAAATTGTTTGCTGCCACTGGAGGATGTAGGATTTCCAATTGAAGGTCCACCGACCTTGGGGCCATATAGTACCTCATCGTCCTTGGGGCATCCTCTTCCTCCGCCGCATCGTTCAGTTGTCGGGCTTGAGCGGCTCCATCTTGCCTTTGGTTCCCCGCCATTCGACTTCAATGACGGGTTCAACTTCCACTTCTTCAACTACTTCTCCACTAACACCGGGATCCAAACGTTGTCCCCCTCTTTCACTTCTTCTCCTTGCCTCTGCTAGCTCTCTCTCCCATGCTAGGAGTCGGAGAGTTCGGTTTATGTCCTCGTCAAGCGGTAGCAAAGGTTTCGGGTTGCTCCGGGTCATGTACCACCTACACACAATCGGAAAACACACCAATTCTAGCACAAGCAAAGAACACACACTTGTAAAACTTGAAATTAAAAGCTAGATTAACAACCAACAACTTTTCAGAATAACAGACCGTTGTCCCCGGCAACGGTGCCAAAAACTTGACTCGCACGAAACTTTACCACAATAAAATCCCAACTAGAGCCCAAGTTTTTAAACTCTAATCGGGTGCAGTATGGGGAAAGTATTTAGATATCGGCCCAGGTCGGTCCGTCTACCCCTACTTCAGTTGTTGAAATCATTATTTAGCAACAAACCTTTGGTTTAAAGGTTTGCTAATTGAAATGAAAGAAAGCAAAGGTAAATGGTTTTGATAACTCTTTGGTGGAAAGATCACTCGGGTGTCGCTCCCCCCTAACTGCTACCATGCTATGTGAATTGGACCGATTACTTTGGGCACGGTAATCGTGAACCGCAGAGGGATGCATATATGGTTGGAGACCACAATCTCAATTTCTAAACCGAGGTAAGCATGAAAGGCCGTGTCACTCGACCCTCTCGGTTTAGATAATCGGTAGTTGACTTACTCCCTCACTCAACTCTAGGGTCGGACGGCTTAATCACGATTAACCGATTTGTTTAACTAAATATTGAGGTTTGCCCTAACTTAACCTAGTTTAGGTGGCTTAGAAAGCGGAAGGAAAACCAACTCGATTGAGTCTCCCTTGGAAGGAGGATTCTCCTCTTTAATCTAGCCTAAGGTGGCTAATTAGATTGCTAGCACCAACATGCACAAACCTAAGGATGCTAAGCACAAAATATGCACAACCCCTAGGTTGCTAAGCACAAGCATGCACAATCATGATGAATAATACCTCATTCATTGAATTAAAAAATACCCAATGACAATTATCCAAAACACATAAAAGAAAACTACATGGTAGAGTTAGGGTTTCACAACACCCAATGAAATGAGGTATACTCCATGCTAGAAGTGGGAAAAACAAAAGGGAAAGAGATGGAACCCATCTTGGAGGATGCTCCCAGACTTCTTGGCCCTTGAGTTGAGCTTCCCTTGGAGGAAATCTTCTCAAAATCTGCCTTGAAGCTGAACTCCAGCCTTCTTCTCCCTTTGGTTTGTGTTTCTCTCTCTAGAATGAAGAAGAAGGCTTTTCACACCAAATGGGCTCTTTCCTCTTTCCTCTCTCCTCCTTTCAACTCATCTTTTAAACCAGAGATGATCTGAGTTCACAGCCTGAGTTCACGATCGTGAACTATGAAACACGCCCGCGAACTGCAGGTGTGCACCAAAACGCGTCGCATCGTTCACTCGAGTTCACGGTCAACTGGCTTTGTTCACGGTCTTAGTGAACGTGAACTCACCTTGCGTCAGTAACCTTCACTTTGGCTCTAGACGCCTCGCGATTCACGGTCAACTCCTCTTCTTCACGGTCATGCAAGACCGCGAACTCCCTTTGTTAGCTGTGAACTGGCTCTTTTTCACCTCTTCTCCCGGTTTTCGATCCTTTTCGCCAATCTTTCGACTTCGAGGCTAGTTTCACCTGCTAAATCCTAAAACACACTCGAACACAAAGAACCTAGCGTAAAACCAACCTTTAAGGAGTGAATTTCGCACAAACAACAAAGTAAAAAGGGGGGCAAAACATGTGCAATTAGACCCGAATCAATCCCCCACACTTAGACGTTTTCTTGTCCCCAAGCAAACCATTTCACGCACACGGTAATGTTTCAACCTATATAAATACTTTGGGGACAACTCAAAGGGCACGAAACGGGAATTCTCAATGTTTATTGACAATCAACACATGAACCGTTGCAAGCAATACTTACATCCACCACAAACGACATTCAAAGCCACCAAAACAGGCAAATGAAAAGTTCTCAACCTATTCATGCATGAATGCAAGTCTCAACAAAATCACTTATCGACCACAACCAACCATGCATGGAATTCAAGTCCGAGGAACAAATGGAAAGGCAACAAAGGTCCTCACCGGGGTATGAAATGGTAAGTAAAATAAGAATGGATCACTCACTCTCGAGCCTGGAGGAAGCTCAACCGAGGTGGTCACGAGGATTCTCGCCGAGGTGGTTACGACATTGGCAGGTATGGTGGTTATAACTCTATTTATGAGGGTGATGAGTAGCTGGTGTTCAGAGCTAAGCCCCCAACCATCAAGCTTTAATTTATAATTATATCAATTGAGTTTTTCAAATTGAAAATTTTGATAAATACTTTTGTGCTATTTATAATTTGTTTTAATCAAGTACTTAATTGGAACTTGGATCAATTAAGTTTTCCAAATTACAAAATTTTGAGAATATAATGAATAAATTGATTTTAAAGATATTGAACATGTCATCATTTTAGTTTAGATGTTATTTTGAATGAAAATAAAGTGTGCAATACAATGTAATGCATTATTAATTGATTTGATTTTTTCTAATATGTATTGGACCTACCTTACTAAAAATGTGTAGTTTACCTCTTATATTTAGTTACTTTAATCATCTTAAAAAGTACATTTTTTTTTGGTAATTTATAAAAATATTAAAAATATTTTCTCATTTATTATTTTAATTAATTTGAACTCCTTTTTGCAGTTATAGAGTAAGGAGCCCTCGACCACCAATTCCTGGCTTGGCCCCTGAACATATTTTTATAAAAGTAATAATATACAATTTTGAAATTCGTGAAAATTCCTCCAAAGCTTATGTGTATATAGTGGATAGCAGCAAGATTTAGATAGACCTTTTTTTTTTTTTGTAATTGATGGGCCAAATAAAATTGTGAGCCGAGTTAGATTTCTCCTAGTTTGACAATCCAAAAACGGGAGCCAGCCGGACTAGCATTGGGTGACAATTGACAAATTTATACCCACCCATATAATGTACGACTCATGCATAAATTACACAACAAAAAATCATAATTAAAAAAAATCACCTGCCCAAGCCCCAAATGTCTGGGGAACGGATCAGGTCAGTAACCTTATGGTGAGTAACCATGAGTAACCAGCCCACATCAGCATCCCTCTCTCCTGGAAAGCCTTTAATTTTCCCCTTCTTAATCTTTGACGGACGATTTCTCACTCGTTTTAAGTCGAAATTTAATTTTTTTTTTTGCACAGTTAGATCAGATTAATTATGCTCTTCAAAATGATATCCACTTTGATATATTTTTCTAACAAAAAAAAATTGAGCCATTTTTTACCAGTCTATACCATATGGTATTGAAATAAAAACATACATATGGTTTGAATAGCGTACCATGGTGGTATGAACAAACCAAGACTGTAGGATGGTTGAATACATGATAGTAGAAGTATAGTAACTGTCATTTACGACTTTTATCATTGTGTACCATCAGTGGCGGACCCAGGATTCTCGTAAAGGTGTGTCAGTCGATAAAATTAAATAAAATAATAAATATATTTTAATTATATTTTACTGTGTAACACAACGAGAAGTGAGATCGAAAGAGGCAAAGGGAACATTGGAGTTTTTTTTTATAAGATAGTAGTCCATATGCAACCAGACTCCCGATGAAAGAGCATTTTTTGTCACTAGGTGGATAACTATGTGAAAACTACAAGGATCAAGAAGAAACGAAACTTATTCAGGTGGAGAGAAAAAAGAGAAAACTTCCTTACGATTACCCATGCCTAAGACCTAAGAGCAATAAACCCTTGCATCTAAATGCTTAAGCAATGGAAAGAACCCCCAATTTGTCATAAGTTAACTAAAATTTAAAATAAATAACATATATTTACGGATTTTGGGAACTTTATGACACTAATTTCATCGTAGTGTATTAAAAGTGTGTCGATAACAATTATTCAAGGTGTGTCGAAAGTCCTAAATTCCAAAAAATTATACCGACAAAACATGGATCTCTCACGAAATATTCGTGCGGAGGTGTGTCGCTTGACACACCTCTCTACCACATGGGTCCGCCCCTGTGTACCATAATATACCACCCCGTACCAGGGTGGTATTGTATGGTATTGTGTGGTATTTTTTTGTCATATAATTTGTTCACCCAAAAATTTGTAGATCCAATAGATCATGATGAACTCGTCCCTTCTGTGCAAACGTTTTCAAAAAAGAATTAAAAACGAAGAAAATACCATAATATACCACCCTGTACCAGGGTGGTATTGTATGGTATTGTGTGGTATTTTTTGGTCATGTAATTTGTTCACCCAGAAATTTGTAGATCCAATAGATCATGATGAACTCGTCCCTTCTGTGCAAACGTTTTCAAAAACGAATTAAAAATGAAGAAAATACCATATGGTATGCAGTTGGTATCGAGAGGCCATAATTTTTTTTTCTAAAAAAATATTGAAAATTGATCTCATTTTGTAGAGCAAGATGAACTCGTTCCATCTGTGCAAAAAAAATTAAAATTCGAGTTAAAACGAAAAAGATATGAATCGATTAAAAAAGCTAGGGAAAATAAAAATTGTCTTTAATTCTCCATTCTTAGATCTGGATTTTCTAAATGAAATGTCCAGATTTGGTTATTGATGCGGGCATAACTCATGGCCATGCACCCTGAGCCAAATGTCTGGGTTCTAAACTAGTACACTACAAATAATTAAATAGACACAAATAAACAAACGTGTCACTTTGGCCATGTTTTTCTCTCTCTCTCTGTTGCAATTCCGCCGCGTCGATTGAAGATTTCTCTTGGCCAATTGGAACGGTATTGTTTTAGTTTAATAAATAAAATGATAAAATAAAATCAGATACATCACCGCCCACGATTTCTGTCTGACCGTCGTGCATTCGCCAGGATTGGGATTCTCATAGTCATTGTTTTGTTTGTCACTTCCCCGGGGCCCACCCCTTGCAACAATCAATCATGAAATCCAACGGTACCAGGTCAGTCGGTGGCAAATCAACTTGACACGCGTCGGTATTTGAGGTAACCTAATGCTGTGTGTTAATCTGGGACTGCCCGTATGTAGTTCTGTTTTGCATGCCATTTTTATTTCTTCTTTCTTGTATTTTTGTCCGGCTTAATTGCAAGTTTGGTCACTAGAATTGCTTAAAAATTTTACGTTTGCCACTGAAATTAGTTTATTCCATCCGTAGTCACTTAAATTAGGTTAATAGTTTAAGTTTGGTCACTGGCCGTTAGTCTCCGTTAACTTTTGCTGATGTGGCGGTCAACTCTTATAGTTGACCGTTAAATAAGTGACGTGGCAATTAAAAAAATAATAATTTTTTATTATTTTTTATTTTTCACCTAATTATTATAAAAAATTTAAAAAAAATCCTAATTACTCTAATTATTATGCGCTAGAGCATCGTCGTTACTCTCCCATCTGATCGCTGCACGCACACTTGGTTCTATAGATGCATCTCATCTCCCCTTGACCTAACTCCAAGTAGTGGAATGGCGGCGGCAGCGGTGACAATAATTTCTTTATCCAACAACGGAATCCCTTCCGACACGGTAATCAAAATCTTGACCCGGCTCCCCTCCGCCTCCGCAGTCGCCAGATGCCGCTGTGTCTCCAGATCGTGGCGCTCCCTCCTCTCAGACCCGGACTTCCTCCTCAAAATCTTCATGTTCGATGGTCCTCCTCCGCCGCACCCCGGCGGCGATCGTAATAAAATCATGATCATCCGCCTACTCAACGAAAAAATCGTCCCGGTGTACTCTCTCCACTCCGTCGACGCCCTAATGGCCCCGATCTATGACGCCCCGAAGATGCAAGTAACTTGTTAGTTGATGCAACCACGACCACATGCTCTGAAGATGCAGAAGAGGGCTTAATCGCATCGATTAGTGCACAGAGTTGAGAGACTAAACGGACATTTTGCTCTCGACTGCAAATAAGGCTAACTTTAACATCAGCTCTGAGAACAAGGAGGAAGGTTAAGTAAAAATCCCTTATTTTTCTGATGAACCCAACCCAAAATAATTAATCACTTGTGGGGCCGTACCTAATCACCATTGTAATGGGGAGAGAGATGCATCCCAAGAGAATCCTCTTCAAGCTCTATGCAGCAGAGTGACTCACTTCTACTGTCACTCTAGGAATCGGCTAAGTGTAACCACTTCCTAAACCGTAGTATAGCGGGTTTGGGTTTAATTATCAACCCGGGTCCTAGATTTGATGACTACTCAGTGAATTCTTGTTATCTAGCAATGAAACTTTAATGCAAGTCTAAACTAACAAACTAACAAAGCAAGTAAACGGTTGTTTTCAGGTTAAGAGAGGTCACCCGGATATGGTTCCCCCTAGACTGCAGTTAAGCCGGATTGTAATTACCAAGTTCAGTTTCTATGATAGTTATACTGCGGAAGGTTCTTAAACAGCCTGAAGTCTCGACTAAAGGTCTTCAGACCCTCTCAATCTGAGTCTCTAGCGGGCGACTAACCTCCACCGGAGTAAACAGATTGAGGCCTTAACAAACAAAACCTCCACTACCGGAGTAAATCTGGTACAGAATAGTGAGTTGGCTCCTCGACTAAAGTCACCAACTCCCTACCTTCAATCAAGGATGCTCTATCAACCTAGGCAGATATTCTCATTCTAGGTTAAAGCAGAAACAACAGGAATTTGATCAGGATTCAAGTTATTCAATCATTCAAACCTCAATCGAATATAATCAAATCATAGAATCAGTACTTGGGTTCATACAATCAAAGCCTAACATACAAATCTAGGGTTCTCCATACCCAGATGAATGGGAGAACTATACATGGAGAAAGAAGCAAAAGCAGAATCAGACGCGGAATTCATACTGTGAAGGATGGATTCCTGCTCCTGGACGTTGATCGGCACTTCTCCAAGCTCAAATTGGCCTCCAATGGTGTTGAAGATCAAGCTAGGGCACTTAAAGACTCTTGTTCGTCGCTTTCTCTCTCTAGGAATCGCTCTATCTCTCAAAACTCCAATCCCCTTCTCTTTGGCTGAAAATCTGCTTAAAAAGGCATCAGTGGCCAAAGCACGGTCGAGGGCACGGCCGTGCTTTGCCTCAGCCCGCCCGTGCTTTGGCTAGGGTTAATTACACGGCCAGTGCATTGGTGCAAACACGGTCGTGCTTTGGCTAGGGTTAATTACACGGCCAGTGCATTGGTGCAAACACGGCCGTGCTTTTGGGAGGACACGACCGTGCTTTGGTAGAACACGGCCGTGTTTTGTCTAAGCCCTGCCCGTGTTTTTAGCCAATGTTTGCCAAGCTCGAATTTGCTCTCGGCA